AGCTCTCCTTGGAGCTCTTTTTGTCTTTTTGAGAGATAACTATGACTCTCAATTTTTTTTTATCCTCACCCGAGGACATTTTTCCATTTTTGTTCAGATAGAGTGGGAGGGAGAGAGAAAAACATCGATGTGAAAGGGACACATCAAATGGCTGCCTCCCGCACAATCCCAACCAGGGCCGGGGACAAACTGCAACCGAGGTACATGCCCTTAGCGGGAACCAAACCTGGGTCTCTCTGGACCGCAGGCCGACACGCTAACCGCTGAGCCAAACCAGCCTGGTCTATGACTCTCAATTCTTGATATGTTCTTCTTGGTGTAATTTCTCTTGCAACATATGTTCTACAGCTGCCTTATTTTTGTTTTCTTCCTCCATCGAGTTTCCAGTCATAATTCCCCATAGTACAGAGTCTCAAACTTTGGCATGCATCAAAATCACCTGGAAAGCTTGTAAAAACTCAGATTCATGGGTCCCACTCAGAGTTTCTGATTCAGTAGATCTGGGGTTGGCCTAGGGAATTTGCATTTCTAACAAGTTCTCAGATGTGGCTGATGCTGCTATTCCAGACACCACACTTTGAGAACCACTGCTATCATGGATGTTGGTGTTCTGCCCAGATCCCTTTTACCAAGTCAATGTACCCACCTGCCAGCTCCTGTGATATTGGATCCTAATGGCTCACAGAGGCCCTTTCTCCCGAGTATTGCTGTAAATGACAGGAGGTATGTTACCCAGAAATGCCTGAAAGGTTATGTTCCTCTGAGGGTGACCCATGGCCAGTGATTGGTGGATTTGGATAGTAGAGAGGCTTGGTCCCTTGCCTCAGGTCAGGGAGTATACCTCTCTGGTGCCACTCATGCTCCAGAACTCCCTATGGGGTCAAGCTGAGACTAGACTTCAGCTGAAGCCGTATCTCTAGTTAACCGTCTACTGCCCGATCCTGCTTTCTGAAAGCACTCAACAGAATCACTCTTTTTTTTTTTTTTTTATCCTCACCCGAGGACATTTTTCCATTTTTTGTTCAGGTAGAGTGGGAGGGAGAGAGAGGAAGAGAGATAGAGAGAGAAACATCGATGTGAAAGGAACACATCGAGTGGCTGCCACCCACACAACCGACCAGGGCAGGGGACAAACTGCAACCGAGGTACGCGCCCCTAGCGGGAACCGAACCCGGGTCTCTCCGGACCGCAGGCCGATGCTCTAACCGCTGAGCCAAACCGGCCAGGGCAACAGAACACTCTTAAAGAATCTGTGTCAAGCTCTGTTTCTAGAGAACCCGACCTACAGCAGTCCCCTTCTAGGTCTTTCCTGATTACTCTTCTTTAATGGGCTTGTTATCTACTGAAACATAGTGTAGAAGGATAAGTAAGCTGGGGCAATCTGTAACTTTCACTTTAGGTTAGTTGTCTTGACTAGATTCTTATTAAGTTCATGTGCAATGGGGGGGTCCTAGAATTCCCCTTCAGTCTCACTCTCTGCTTTGGCTGCCTTCTCCCCACCTGCTATGGACTGAATTGTGTGACCCCCCAATTCATCTAAGCACCCAATGTGACTGTATTTGGAGATAGGACCTATAAGGAGGTAATTAAGCTTAAATGAGATCAGAAGGGTAGGCCCCCAATATGATAGGATTGGTATCCTTTTAAGAAGAGACTAGAGAGCACACCCTCTCTCTTCCTCTCCCACTGCATAGGCACAAAGAAGAGGCCATGTTAGTACACAGCGAGACTGTGGCTGGCTACCTCCGAGCCAGGAAGAGGTCTCACTAGAAACCAACCCTGCTGGAAGGCTCATCTTGAACTTTCAGCCTCCATAACTATGAGAAAATAAATGTCTGTTGTTTAAGCCCATGGTCTTTTGTTATGACAGCCCGAGCTGTGTAAGACACTTTCCTTCACCATGCTTCACCGCCAGCGGTCTCCTCTGGTGTATACTGCCTGGTTTCCCCTTCAGATCCATCTCGCACTTTTGAGTTTTAACCTGAGCACTACAGGGACATTCTCCATTCTCCTGAAGCCACTGCAGATGGAGATTGTGTCAGTCTAATCAAGAGATTATAGAATATGCCTTTCATAACTGACATGTTTAAGATAAAACCCCTAGATCTGAGAAAGCAAGTCATTTATAATGGGATATAAATCATATATGTATGTAATACTTTTGGTTAAAGATAGTGGAGTGAATGGAGTTTTACTCCATCCTCTTTCTCAAAAGTCACTGTTGACAATAAAAAATTATAAAAAGTTTTTTATCTTCCAATAGTTACAACCTCTAACTGGGAAGCATACTCACCAAGGACTGAAATCAGGATTTGGTGAAGGAGGAAGCTGAGAACTGACTTGCTTTCTGAGATCTAGGGACTGGCAAAAATAAAAGCCCCAGCATTTCAACGTATTTAACATGACCACAATTGGTCTAAGTCACCTTCCTTCGAAAAAAACCTTAAATGGCTCCAGTGTTACAGAAAAATATCTGAAAGCACTAAAGGCTTTTTGTGATCTGGCTGAAATGTGTAGTTTTAATCTATTCTTTGCTTGAGTCCAATTTATATATTTATCATTCCCAAATGTATGTTATGAAAAAGTACTTACCTTTACATTTTATTACACCAATGTTATTGGAATACCTTTTCTACTCTCCTCCATTTATCTAAAAGCTACCTTTCCAAGAGTAAACTTGTGCAACAAATCTTGGTAAGCAATTTATCAGGAAGTATTGAGAGCCTTAAAATTGTTTCTAACTTTGACTAATTCCTTTCTGGAAATCTCTTCTACAGAAATCATCTGAGAGGCTGACAAAGATTTGTGCACAAAGATGTTCTTAGCAACATTATTTATTTTTATTTTTCTATTATGAAGATTTTCAAGCATACATAACAGTAGACAGACTAGTACAACAAAGTCCCATATATCTATCACTCAGATTCAACAATTTGTTGCCATATTTGCTTCAACTAACTTTTTCCTTTAACAAAATATCTGCTTAAGTATTTTAAAGCAAATCCCAGATATCATGTCCTTTCACCCTTACATAATTCTATGTGCATCTCTGAAAAATAAGGGCATTTTCTTGCATAAGGTTAATGCCTGTAGCACACCTAAAAAAGTGAACAATAACACTCAGTCCATAAGTAGATTTCCATTTCTTTTTTTTTTTTTTTTAATCCTCATCCGAGGACACTTTTCCATTTTTTGTACAGACAGAGTGGGAAGGAGAGAAAGGAAGAGAGAGAGAGGGACACATCGAGTGGCTGCCACCCACACGACCAACCAGGGCCGGGGACAAACTGCAACCGAGGTATATGCCCTTAGCGGGAACCGAACCCAGGTCTCTCCGGACCGCAGGCGGACGCTCTAACCGCTGAGCCAAACCGGCCAGGGCGATTTTCCATTTCTTAAAAATGTCTCTTTTCAGTTGGTTTGCCCAAATCAGCAACCAAATAAGAAATACACATGGTATGTGGTCACTGGAGCTCTTGCATCTCTTTGGAGCTAGAGCAGACCCCGTTCCTTAATGAATTAACATTTTTCATGACCCTGACTTGGAGGCCCAAGCAGAGCTGAAGAGCTGATGTTGCAGTACAAGTCTGAAGGCCATCTAGTGGCAGAATTCCTTCTTGCGGGGGGGTGGGGGGGGTGGAGGGGCAGTCTTTGCTCTATTAAGGTCTTCAACTGATTGGATGAGGCCCATCCACATTACAGAGGGCAATCTGCTTTACTCAAAGCCCTCCCATTTAAATGTTAATCTCATCCAAAAAACACCCACAAAGAAACATCCAGAATAATGTTTGAGCAAATATCACAGCACTATGGTCCAGTTAATATGACACATAAAATTAACTATCACAAATATATTTCATTAAGACTATGCTGTGGGTACAATTGTCTTTCCAAAAAGATATGTTCAAGTCCTATCCCCCACATCCTGTGAATGTGACCTTACTTGGAAAAAGAGTCATTGCAGATGTAATTATTTAAGATGAGGTCATTCTGGAGTAGGGTGGGCTCTTAATTCAATATGATTGGTATCCTTATAAAAAGATAAAAAGGCACACAGAAATGGATATGCACAGGGGAAAGATGACATGAAGATACACAGAGAGAATGCCATGTGATGACAGAGACAGAGATCGGATCTACGGTGCCATAAGCCAAGGAATGCCAAAGATTGCTAGCAATACAAGAAGCTAAGAGAAAGGTAGTAACAAATCCCACCAATATCTTGATTTCTGATTTCTAGTCTTTAGAACTGTGACAGAATAAATTTCTATTGCTTAAGCCACCAGGTTTGTGAAACTTGATTACAGCAACCCTAAGAAACTAATAGACTACACAGACAAAAATATGTTTTCACTTCATTTCTTTCCTGTGTGTATATCAACTTGTAATAAAATTAGGTTCATTTCTATTTGTTTTCAATGTTTATTTTAGTTTTTGGCTACATTAGTTATTTATGTTTATAAAGCCAACCTATATAATAAAGTATAACTTCCCCCCAATCTTTCCCATCCTGTTCCTTTGTCACCCAAAATACTTTAAAAAAGTCAAATAGTATCAATAATGGTTGTCTCTGTAAAGTAAGATTATGTGTTTCCTAACTGTTCTCTGAGGTTTCCAAATCAAGACCAAATAAAATTAAAAGAATAAAATGATGTGTCTTACAGGGCCCAGCTCAAGTTCCATGACCTCAATAAAACCTTCCAATAAGTACTTTCTCTTTTCTGAACTCATACATTGTTTACTATCTATATTGCTCACTTAACCCTTCGCATCAATCAATGAATCAATTTAAAAATTAATGCATTGAGATCTGAAGGGCACCATGTTATGTGCTATGGGGACACAATGTATTATCAGTTAAGTTTTCATGTACAGTCATTTTCTTGATTAAGCTATATATTGAAGCAAGAGCTTCCTTATATCCTCCATTAGTGGCCATCACTGCTGACTGATGATACCAAATTCCTTTGTGCAGAAGACAAATAAAAACGGAAACAGACTGATATAAATCCCTTTAATAAAGTATATCAATGACAACTTTATTTTTAAATAAATATATTGTTTAAAAAATCATACAAAAGCATTTTCTTATAATTATTAAGAAAGATTTGAGATTGCTATTCCCTCTGCAGAAATGCTATACACAGATGCAAAATGGTCAAAGGCTGATGTAATAATGAATCTCAAATAAGTGGCGTGGCCATCATGTGCCTGTAGGGGAAAAAATCAATATTAATACTCTTAGCAATTCTAGTTAACTGTTAAGCAGTTAGCAAAAAAAAAAAGAAAAAGGATTTGATGCAAGGGTAATAGTATAAATATATAACAATATATAAGATAATATTCAGAAGAGAAGCCAGCGACATATAACAATGCAGTTGTTTGCCCTGGCACTTTGGCTCAGCGGTTAGAGTGTCAGCCTGCGGTCCAGAGAGACCTGGGTTCGGTTCCTGCTAAGGGCGTATACCTTGGTTGCAGTTTGTCCCTAGCCATGGTTGGTCATGCGGGTGGCAGCCACTCGATGTGTCCCTTTCACATCTATGTTTCTCTCTCTCTGTCTTCCTCTCTCTCCCTGTAGCTCTATCTAAACCAAAAAAGGAAAAATGTCCTCCGGTAAGAATAAAAAAAAAAATACAGTCGTTCTAGTGTAAATTAGCCAAATATTAGCCTTGTTTACAACTGTACACTTTCTGATCAATTTTTTCAAAGTGTCTTTCTAAAGTATTTTTCATGATAAAAGATTTCTTTTTGTTAACAATGCCTCAGAATATATTATCCTAAAACATTACTATACTTTCACATTTATATAATTTCTCTGGAAAGCAATTTGGCAATATGTAAAAAACTATAAATATGTCTATATCCTTCAACTCAGTAATTCCATTCCCTGAAATTTAGTCTTAGAAAATAATTTAAAAGGTGAAGATCGTGGTAGTGGGAACATACATAAGATGTCCCTTTGTAGTATTACTTATAATGACAGAGAGAGAAAATTAGTTAGCATTTGCCTGTTTGCATATGTTTAATCTTAAACTTATAATTATGAAGCTTGTATATAATATTAATTCTTGAAATGATACAAAATTGTCCATACATTACTATTTTAACTATATGTGATGCATATGGTCGACAACTAAAAGAAAGTAGGTATAGAAAAAGCTGTTGTGACAGGGTGATAAAATTATGAGTGATTTTCAGCCTTCCATGCCCCCTTATTATTTTCTAAATGTTCTAAAATGATGTGAGCCTCCCTGATCCTTAGCAAGTACTGAAACAAAATATTCAGCAGAGACTTACTAATCATAACCTGTTGGTAAAAATGGATAAAAATAGGAAGATAAAATTCAGTCTAATCATTTTCAATCCCCTCAACTTGCCTTCCCAGTCCCTGGGTACATTTGGGTGGTAGAGAAGAGAATTAACAGGGTTCAAAAACATCTTAAGGTTTTTTGGGGGGTTTAATTCTCACCAGATGGTATTTTTTCCATTGATTTTTAGATAGAGTGAAGACCAAGAGAGAAGGACGGAGGGAGAGACAAAGAAACATCAATGTGAGAGAGACACATGGATTGGTTGACTCCCAGGGCCAGGGATTGAACCTGCAACCCAGGTATGTGCCTTTGATGAAGACTCTAACCCACAACCCTTCAGTCCTCAGGCTGAGACTCTAACCGCTGAGCCAAACCATCCAGGTCTAAGACTTTTTTGAAATACTGATTTTATAGCAGCTCTCAACAAGTTGTGAAATAGGAAATTTAATGGACAAGGTTCTTCAACCCTCATTTCAAGACACCTTAATGAAAAAACACTACCATCTTTAAACCCTGCCCCACCACCACACACACACACACACACACACACACATTGCCCTGGCCAGGTTGCTCAATTGTTTGAAGTGTCACCCATACATCAAAAGGTTGCAGGTTTGCCCAGGCTGGTTTGGCTCAGCGGTTAGTGTCAGCCTGAGGTCCAGAGAGACCCGGGTTCGGTTCCCGCTAAGGGCGCGAACCTCGGTTGCAGTTTGTCCCCAGCCCTGGTTGGGTCGTGTGGGTGGCAGCCACTCGATGCGTCCCTTTCACGTCGATGTCTCTCTCTTTCCCTCTCTCCCCCTCCCACTCTATCTGAACAAAAAATGGAAAAATGTCCTCGGGTGAGGATTAAAAAAAGGTTGCAGGTGTGATTTCGGATCAGGGCACATACCTAGGTTCAATCCTCCGTCAAGGCACATACAGGAGCCAACCAATCAATATGTCACTCTCACATTGATATTTCTCTCTCTCTCTCCTTTCTTTCTCTAAAAATCAATAAAGAAACATATCCTCAGGTGAGGATAAATTTAAAAATAAAACACACATACACATTAATTTTTTTCACCTTTTTGTGTTTGTCTAAAACCAGAGCCTGATTAACTAGCAGGAACAGAGAAACTCCTGATGAAGTGGCAACTTCCTCATCAATGAGCATTCATTCCACTTGACAAGCAAAGCCCAATGGAATGTTGTCGAAAAATCCTTGTTCTTTCCACCTCATCTCTCTTTGGCTTATTTGTTGCTGATCTTATGCTCCAGTTCCCCTTATCTGAATCTCCCTTGTCCTTTCATTAACATCCAGTTTTGGCATCTCAACTTTTTTTTGATTCCTATTCTAAAAGACCCACAGAATCAAATGAAAGAAAGCAAAGCAAGTAAATACTTCCAAATAAATGAATACAATGAAAACAAAAACAAATACGTGAATTCTGTTTTGTCCTTGCTATCATTCTGTCTGTGATAGATAAAAGCCTAATTATGGCCCTGGACAATTTGGTTCAGCAGTTAGAGCGTTGGCCAGCAGACCAAAGAGTCATGGGTTCTATTCCAGTCAAGGGCACGTACCTCGGTTGCGGTTTGGTCCCCGGCCCTGGTCGGGGTTGTGCAGGAGGCAACCAGTCTCTGTGTCTCTTTCCCACTGATATTTCTTGCTCTCTCTCTCTCTCTCTCTCTCTCCCTCCCTCCCTCCCTCCCTCCCACTCTGTCTGAAAACAAATGGAAATATATCCTCGAGTGAGGATTTAAAAAAAAAAGCCTAATTAATGAATGTTACATTTAGATTATACTATTGAGAATAACCTCTATTGATTGATCAAGTACAGAACCTATAATATCATGAGAGTATTTATTAACTTTATGACTAGAAAGATGGGTTTAAAATGTAAATATATTATGCTGGCTAAAGATAATATTTATCTCTACAAAGTATATTTACTTACCATAATTTCTTCATTTTGAAGCTGCCCCTCTGTGTGTACTAGATCTAAAACATAAATTTAACAGAAATGAGTTAGGGCTTAAAAGACATGATGATAGCTACTGAAATTTATGTTCGGCAAAACATTATATCTGATAAACTGTAGTTGAACCAGATTTACCAGTGTTTTGGGGTTAAAATTTAATATACAAGAAGAGATATTTGATATAAAAGGTATGAAAGATAAACTGTTTATGAGCTATAAAATATCTCTAGTGAGTATAAATGTAAGGAAATCCAAATGTAAATTATAGTAAAGAAATATAAAGTGAAGAATTGATAAAATGTGAAAATCCCTTTTTAAGGATCAAGCTACTAACAGCAATTGCAGGCCTGAAAGGAGCCATTTCATTGTTCCCACGGGCAATGACTAGAGCTCAGTTTCTCACAATAAATTTTTACTATGATGCAGAATTATGCTACCCCTGAATTGATCTTTTTTCTGGTTTCCAACTTTAGAAAAACTTTTACTCATATAATTTTAAGACAGATTAATTTATTTGGTCATGAGTTAATCATATCAAACATTCTTTTGGAACCATGAAATATTTAATTGATATAATAAAAATATTGACACTATTTAGAAATTAATTTTATTTGTATTAAAATAGTCAGTGCACATAATTTTAAAAGGTACACACAGTATAAAAAGGGAAGCCTCTGGGAAGTAAGATTATATATGACTTTCCTTCTGTTTCCTAACCTTTCTCTGAGGTAATGAAAAACAGTAATCCCCTGCTTGACCTCTCCTTTGTCCTCCAGTTCTGCTCCCTACAGGTAAATGTTTTCAAATATTTAAGCTGTTTTTCCTGGAATTGTTATTCCTTTTCTTGACTTATCAATTTTTTACTGACTTTATATAATGGTAGGTGAAAATTTAAGTCTCTAAAACTAATATCCTCTTCCTCCTCCTCTGGCAGATTTTCCCTCCTGCCATCCTTTCAATTTTGAAATCAACACTTGATGGTTACATTTTTGTCTATACACACATTATCTGCTGCTGAAATAAGTAACAAATTATGATCACATTTCATTATTCACCCCCCACCAGAAGTTAATAATGACCTCTTATTTCATTTACTCAGTTTTAAAAATTAAAACATTGAAACATTGGAAAACTTCAAACAACATAAAAGACAGAACATAACTCATATATAACTCATCATCTAGATTTTACAATTACTAATATTTCACCATACTTGATTTATCTAATGTTTTTGCTAATTGTTTTAAAGCAAGTCTAAGACATCATGATGTTTCACTTTCAAATATTTGATTATCTATCTCTAAATAAAAAGGATATTTTCTTATATAACCATAATACTATTATCATGCTAACATTTAAAACAAAGCTTTAATATCATATAGTACCCAATCTATACTCAAATTTTCCCACTGTCACCAAAATGTATTTTTATAGTTAATTTATTCAAATTAGAATGGTCTCTTTTAAACTTGAACTGCTTTCTCTCCCACATACACATTTTTCCCCCATGCCACTGACTTACTGAAGAGACCAGGTCAGTTGTCCTGTAGAATGCCCCACATTTTGTCATCTTGCCTCTTCACGATTCCATTTAATTTGTTCCTCTCTCCTACATATTTCCTATAGTTTGGAAATTAAAGCTAAAGGCTTGATTAAATTCAGAATTTGGGGGTCTTCATCAAATGTCTGGTGATTTTGGCTGTCTTTTTTTACTTACGAAGAAGTCATTTGAAAACTATGTGCATGAGCCAGTCTAGTTGACTAGTGGACTTCAATAGGGTGACCAGGAATGAGCTAGCCTTTGTCAACATCCACAGATCTTTTTTCTGGGGCATTCAGTTTCTCCAAAGATGAATCTTCCTATTTCCTGGCTGGGGCTATATTGGTTACTGTCATAAATAGCAGAGCACAGGAGGGGTTCCCACTATTCCACAGGCAGGCTCCACCTAAATCCCTGTTTTTAACTTCGTATCTCATTCACTCTCTCTGCTTATGCCTGGTCTCCCTGAGTTCTGAGCCTCAATATTCAGTGTTCCTTGAGGAGGACATAATAATCCCTTAGAGGTGGTTTATGGAAAGAAAGAGTGGCCACCTAGATTTTGCAGGTAGGAGAAGGTTCCTAGGGTCCAACCACTTTGTATATAGATGTTCAATTAATGACCCATTTTTTCTGGATCATGTCTTACACTTTCCATTTCCTTCAAGTTCTAGACCTTTCTGGGGTTCTTTTGGGCAAACTAGATTGCTTCTCATTAATTTTCTCTTTGGCAGGCACTTAGATTATAATCTACTCCATTCAACTACAGAAGTTACTTCTCCATTTGCATCCTCTCTTCCACAATATATACTGATCTTTCACATCTGCTTTGGTCTCCTAGTTTTTTATTTTTATTTATTTTTTTGTTCTTCTAGTTTTATGCTTCTTTTTATTCCTTTACTATTATTTTCATGGTATTTTGGAAGGAAAGGAGATAGACACATGAAGGCAGTATGTCTTTAACTAGAGGCTACCAATTCTTCTGGAAAGAAAAACAAAACTAATATTTATTGTCTGTTTACCATACACCAGACATTTTGTTCACAAAAACTGTAAATGGTAGGCATCATCTCCATTTTTCAAATAAGAATTCACAAACTCAGAAAAATTAAGTAACTTGTTAGCAGTTACATAACCAGTAAGTAAAGAAGTAATCTTATATTAAAACCTGGGATTTTCTAGGCTCTAAATATGTCACAAGAAACATTCAGGTCATCATTAAAAAAAAAAAATTTTTTTTCCCTTTATTGATTTTAAACAGAGAGGAAGTGGGAGGGAGAGAGAGATAGAAACATCAATGAGAGAGAACATCAAACGGCTGCCTCCTGCATGCCCCCCACTGAGGATCGGGCCCACAGCCTGGGCATGTGTCCTGACTGGAAATCGAACTTGCAACCTTGTGGTGCATGGGTTGACACTAAACTGCTGAGCCACACTGGCGGGACAAGGTCATCATTTTTCATATAAATGTAGACTGAATTGGAAACACAGAGCCAAAGGACAATTCTCTATTCCCTCATGCTCAGAACAATGCTGGTGAAACAAGCACGTACCTCTTTCAATCCACTGTTCAAAATCAACTGGCTCTTTAGATGTGCTCTTTTCAATCCGCAGAGTCCGCACTGATATTGTAAATAAACAAAATAAATAAAGTATTAATTATCTAACTGAGTCTATGTTGTTGTTCCTATATCCCTTTTTTCCTCTGAGACTATCAGGCTTTGGTGGGAATGCACGAAGAACTGGGATCAGGAACACCAAGTTCTGAAAATCACTCCCTCTTTTTCCATAAGTCCCTATGGTGAAATACAGTCTTGTGTCACTATTATGTTACAAATGTTTGCAAACATACAATATAGAGCTAATAGAGACTTTTTGAATTTGGTATATCTAGATTTTTAAACTATAATGGTAATAATAATAATAGTATTAGTAGTCTTGGTCATAAATCTTTAAGGAGAACCTACTATGAGTCAGGCGTACTTATTCACTCCTGACTATAATCTTTTGAGAAAAGTATTATTAACCTACTTTACTAATGAGGAAACAGGCCTAGAGAAATCAGGCAACTAAAGAAGTCAGGCAAAGTATACTATGATAAAGCATTAGTAAGTGCCAGAAATGAAACTCAAACTTTAGGTCTGTCTGACTCCAGAGCCTCTGCAATTAATGACAAGAGAGACTTAATAGGAATGCAGTCCTCTTCCTTCTACAGTTTTTTCCCATTACCCTTAACCTCATTCTGGTACCTCAGATCCATTCTTCCCTTCTGTGTTCTGTGCCCTGGAGGAATATCCTCTGTGGACTGCATCACCTGGACTCACTTGCTCACTGACTACTGGTCATATTTGGCCAATGGGAGGCACTGGGAGGAAACTGGAGGGCAGTGGGGAAGTGAGATCAGGTTGTTTTTTTCTCCACTCCCTTCCTGCTTCAGTGCCATGTCTTTGACAGTGGTTGTGTTCCTTCATGATTACAGCTCCTGCCAGACAGGCTCTTATTTATAGGCTCTAGCTTTTACTGGGCTCCCATAACACTGTTTCCTTCCCTTGGCCCAGGGGTGGTAATAGCATCCTGCTGTAGCCAGTTTCTGGGTGTCTCACCATCCCTGGTTTATTCTCTTAAACCAGAACATAATTTTGTAAGTAGACCCATCAATCAAGTCTCTTCATTTGAACCATCTGGAGTATATTCTGTTCCCTGTTTGATATATTTTATCCTTACATAAACATAAAACAGGATTAGAATGATATTCCAGTGGGAGATTTTCCTCCTAAATCCCTCAGAAAATGTCATTATTAATAGAAGAATCAAAATTATCCAATGCAAATAAGCAGGGTTATCAGATTTGTAGAAAGAATTTGACAGAGAACCCCAAGCCAAACAATCTGTAATAAATATGTCAAGGAATCTAGGGTTCTGGCAAGCTGGCTTCTTAGGTTCATAATAGGGTGTTTTGCCAAAGACTTTCACATAGTAAATTGCATGGAAATTATTATGTGCTTTGGAAGGGTTTCAAATTTGCAGTTTCATAGAGTCTAACTGAGCTCAAGGCAGTTAACCCATACACCCTCCTCTCCCACCCAGCAATAAAGCTGGATTCCATGCTGCAAAGAAAAATTACTGTTTTGCCAAAGTTTACATATGTGCCCTCTACCTATGGAAAAATTAAAAGATGATGAAAATTAATGTATGATTTGCTTACCAAAGTAACTCTGGATTACAAGTTTTTCAATTCTTACATGTTTGTGAAAACAAATAATGAACTCTTGGGGAAACATTCCTGTGGTGGTCCAAAATGTTTCTGGATTCCTATTGTTAATTTAAAAAAGAGAGAGAGAGAAATTCACAACATTCTAATGAAAAAGTTAAAAAAAAAAATGACTGCTGATTCTTTCTAACCCCTTTTTAATTGTTCATTCTGCCTCTAATCTCTCCCAAATTTTAAGAATTCTTCTTTATTTCTAGTAGATATATTTTTTAAAAACACAGTAACATAGAATTATGTCACTCTTGTCTAAAGCCTTCAGTGGCCCCTTAATGCCTATAAATCTAAAAGCCTTAGTATGGCATTTTACGACTCTATGAATAATAATCTGGTCCCATCATTAAAGCACTATATCCTTGCCCTTCATGCTATCATCTCCCATTACTGTAGTTACACTGGGCCTGTTAAAAGTCTGCAAAGACGTCATGCAGGCTCATGGTCCTGTGACTTTATACATATGTAATAAATCCCACAGTACAATGTGTTTCTTTCCCATTAAGTGGTGAACTGTCTTTCAAAAAATTTAACATAAAAAGGTTGCCTTTTCATATTATCCAAATATTTACCATTTCCAATGAACTTCATTTCCTCCTGTAGATTTGAATTTCTTTTTAAATTTTTATTTATTGATTTCAGGAGACAGAGATCAATCTGTTGTTCCACTTATCTGTGCATTCATTGGTTCCTTCTTTCATATGCCCTGACCAGAGACAGAACCCGCAACCTTGGCATTCTGGGATGATGCTCTAACCAAGTGAGCTACCAGGCCAGGGCTGGTTTGAATGTACATCTAGTATTATATCACTTTAACCTACAGAACTTCCTTTAGCATTTCCTGTGATGTAGGTCTACTTGTAATGAATAAAATGTCTTTATTCTAGCCTCATTTTTAAAGAATATTCAGCTAGATACAGAATTCTGGATTGACAGGCTCTTTTGGGGAAGGTTCTCCTTTTTTCAGCATTAAAAAATATTGTTCCATTGTTACCTGGATTTCACTGTTTGTCGTGCAAAGTCAGCTGTCACTGGTACTATTGTTCCTCTGTATTCAATGTGGTTTTTTTTTCCCTCCAGCTGTTTAAACATTTTTTTCTGTATCTTTATTTTTTAGCATATTAGAAAATGGTCTCTATGTACTTATCTGCTTGGGGTTTGCTGAGTTTCCTGGATCTATAGGTTGACATTTTAAAATAAGATTGGGGAAATCTGGCCAAAAAGTAGGAACCACCCAGATATCCATCAGCTGATAAATGGATAAATAAGATGTACTATATACAAACAATAAAATATTATTTGACAATGAAAAGAAATGAAGCTCTGGCCAGCATAGCTCAATGGTTAGAGCATCAGCCTGTGCACTGGAGGGTCGTGGGTTCAATTCCTGGTCAAGGGCACATACCTGGGTTGCAGGTTCTATCCCTAGCCCTACTTGGGGCATGTGTGGGAGACAACCAATTGATGTGTCTCTGTCATATGTCTTTTGCTGTCTTACTCCTCCTCCTACCCTCCCTCCCACTCTCTCTAAAAAAAATATCAATGGAAAAAATATCTTTGGGTGAGGATTAACAAAAAAAATAAAAGGAATGAAGCGCTGATATGTACTACATCATGGATAAATCTTGAAAATATGTAACTGAAAGAAGCAAAAGACCACATATGTATAATTCTATTTATATGAAATGTCTGAATAGGCAGATCTATAGAACAGAAAGTAGATTAGTGGGTACCTAGGGCTAGTGAGGATAAGGGAAATACAGGGTGACTACAATGGGTTGCAAGGTTTCTTTCTGGGGTAATAAAATACTCTAAAATTGATTGTGCAGATGGTTGCATAACTCTGTAAATATACCAGAAGCCACTGAATTGTACACTTTATATTTTTATTTATTTATTTACTTCTCAATCCTCACCAGAGGATATTTTTCCATTGACTTTTTTTTTTTTTTTAATCCTTACTCGAGGACATTTTTTCATTTTTTGCTCAGATAGAGTGGGAGGGAGAGAGAGGAAGAGAAAGAGAGAGAAACATTGACGTGAAAGGGACACATTGAGTGACTGCCTCCTGCACAACCCAACCAGGGCCAGGGACAAACTGCAACTGAGGTATGTGCCCTTAGCGGGAACTGAACCCAGGTCTCTCTGGACCACAGGCCGATGCTCTAACTGCTGAGCCAAACTGGCCAGGGCTGGGTTTTTTTTTTGGATAGAGCAAATGGGAGGGAGGGGGAGAGAGAGAGAGAGAAGCATCAATGTTAGACACATTGATTGGTTTCCTCCTGCACAGTGAGGTTGGGGATCAAACCCACAGTTGAGATACATGCCCTTGACTGGGAATCGAACCCGCAACTCTTTGGTCCACTGGCCCACACTCTAACCTTTGAGCCAAATAGGCCAGGGCTCAATTGTACACTTTTATTTAAAACATTTTTTTCTTTTTCTTTTTTATCCTCACCCGAGGACATTTTTTTTTTTTTTTATCCTCACCCGAGGATATTTTTCCAGTTTTTGTACAGATAGAGTGGGAGGTAGAGAGAGGAAGGAGAGAGAGAGAGAAACATCGACGTGACGGGACACATCGAGTGGCTGCCACCCGCACGACCAACCAGGGCACCCGAGGACATTTTTGCCTGTATCTTCAGACAGAGCAGGAGGGAGAGAGGAAGGAAGAGAGAGAAACATCAATGTGAGAGACACATCGACTGGTTGCCACACACATGACCCCAATCTGGCCGGGGACAAACTGCAACCGAGGTACGTGCCCTTAACAGGAACCGAACCCGGGACTCTCCAGTCCACGGGCCGATGCTCTAAGCGCTGAGCCAAACCAGCCAGGGCAAAACATTTTTTTCTTTATTGATTTTAGAGAGAGACAAAGGAAGAGGGAGAGACAGAAACCTCTATGAGAGAGGACATCAATTGGCCACCTCCTGCATGCCCCCACTGGGGATTTGGCCCACAACCTGGGCATGTGCCCTGACCAGGAATCAAACCAGCCTCTTGGTGCATAGGTTGACGCTCAACCACTGAGCCACACTGGGTGGGCTCAATTGTACACTTCAAGAGTCTCATGCTCTACCGACTGAGCTAGCCGGGCGCTTTAACTGTGCATTTTAAATAGGCGAATTGCATCAAGCCGGTGTGGCTCAGTGGATTGCGTATTGTCCCATAGAGTGAGAGGTCCCTGGTTCGATCCCTGGTCAGGGAACATGCCCAGGTTGTGGGCTCAATCCTCAGTAGGGGGCATGCAGGGGGCAGCCAATACATGTTTCTCTCTCATATGGATGTTTCTATCTCCCTCTCCCTTCCTCTCTTTCTAAAAAAATCAATAAAAACATACTTTAGTGAGTTGCATGATATGTAAATAATATACAATTATTATTCATGTAAGAAGCTGGGTTTTCCTAACTCACAAAACTGGGTTTTTAAAACTATGCTTAATATTTCATAATTTTTAAAATTTACATTTATACGGTTTAAATATTATTTAGTTAAATAAATTAAATGACTTTAAATTTTTTTTTTAATTTATTTTTACAGATGTTTCTTCTTTTCCCCCCATTGACACCCTCCTCCCCTTCTTCCCCTCCCGCCCCATCCCCAGTATTGTTGTCTATGTTCATGGTTACACATACATGCATATAAGTTCTGTGGTTTATCTCTTCCCTCCCCTGACTCCCTCTTCTGAGGTTTGTCAGTCTGTACCCTACTTCTATGTCTCTGGGTATATTTTGTTCATCAGTCTGTTCTGTTCATTATATTCCACAAATAAGTGAGATCATGTGATATTTGTCTTTCTCTGATTGGATTCTTTTGCTTAGGATAATACTCTCCCGGTCCCTCCATGTGGTCTAAAGGATAAGAGATCTTTCTTTCTTACAGCTGCACAGTACTCCATTGTGTACATGTACCACTGCTTTTTCATCCACTCATCTATTGATGGACACTGGGCTGTTTCCAGATCTTAGCGAATGTAAATAGTGCTGCTATTAACATAGGGGTGCATATCTTCTTTCTGATTGGTGTTTCAGGCTTCTTAGGGTATATTCCTAGAAGTGGGATCACTGGGTCAAATGGCAGTTCAATTTTTTACTTTTTGAGGTAACACCATAATGTTTTCCATAGTAGCTGCACCAGTCTGCATTCCCACCAACAGTGTACTAAAGTCCCCTTTTCTCCACACCCTTGCCAGCACTTGCTGTTTGATGATTTGTTGATGGCGGCCATTCTGACAGGTGTGAGGTGATACCTCATTGTTGTTAAGTTAAATGACTTAATTGCCTTGTTTTTTTCTCGGGTGCTTTAAAATTTTTTTTTCTTTATTGATTTTTTTTGAGAGAGAGAAGAAGGGAGAGGGAGAGAGGGAGAAACATTGATTGGCCGCTTCCTGCATGCCCCACACTGGGGATTGTGCCACAACCTGGGCATATGCCCTGACCAGGAATTGAACCAGAGACCTCTTGGTGCATGGGTCGACACTCAACCAGTGAGCCACACTGGCTGGGCTCTTGAGTGCATTTTTTTTTTTTTATTGGTATGTGCCCCTAGCAGGAACCAAACCTGGGACTCTCTGATCCGCAGGCAAACGCTCCAACCACTGAGCCAAACCGGCCAGGGCTCTTGGGTGCTTTAAATGAACACAATCAATATAATAATACCTAGAGATGGATTTTAAAATGACATATAACTGAATCCCCATATTTAATGAAGTCATAAAAATAGTTTTATTTTAAAAAGGTTTTATGCTAATTCTGTTTAGTATCTATTACCTCACATAATTTTTTTCACAACTCTGAGGCAGTTAGGGAAGGTGATATTAGCCCCATTTAATAGACCAAGAAATTGAGGCTCAAAGGGTAATACATATATGCTGAGCCCAAGGTAACACATACAGTTCACTTACCCAAGAATTTTAACTGTAAATCTAGTATTCTTCTACAGTATCCCAAAAGAACTAATTCTCTTTCTCTTAATTCATTTTTTTTCTAGTACAGAACTTTTTTTTTTCTTCTTTTTCATTGATATGTTAAATGCCTGAGGAAAAAGTAGAGTTAAGGGCAAGTAGAAATATAATCACTTCCTTTAACTCCTGTTTCTGGAAGGAGAGTTGGAAGCAGATTTATAGCACTGTTTTCTCCAAATAATTCCATGGTTACTTCCATTTAGATAAACCAATTTATGAGCAGAGAATAATTTCTTTTTTATCCTCACTCAAGGATATTTTTCTATTTATCTTCAGGTAGAGAGGGAGAAAAAAGGAGAGAGAGAGAAACATTGACGTGGGAGGGACACATCAACTGGTTGCCTCCCGCACGACCTTATCCAGGGCCGAGGATGAACCACAACCCAGGTACGTGCCCTTGGCTGGAATTGAACCTGGGACTCACTGGTCTACGGGCTGATGCTCTACTACTGAGCCAAATTGGCCAGGGTGAGAATAATTTTTAATATCTGCTATATAAAGTCTAATTGTATTTGTTGGACATGCATACAGATTAAAAGTCTCCAATGTGCTCTGTTTAGTTACCAGGTCAGTAACTACTTTTATTCCGTGAGGTTTTTGTACTAAGGGTTTTGTCTAATCTAAAAAATATGATGTCCTTAGTCATTCATTCATATGGACTGATATGAAAAGATCTCTATTTCTGGCAAACAACATGAGGCAAATCTTTATCGATCTATGTATTCTCACAGCAGCTGCCACATTAATTTCTCTGCTCCAAGGCAAAGTAGGCTAAATAACCATTACCTGAATATTTTAGGAAGTAAAAACTAAGGAGGATTAAGAGGAACAGGCAAAAGCAGATATCAAATTTTTGATGCAAACCTTAAATTTGAATTATAGTGTGGCCAGTTTGGTTCACTGGTTAGACCATCGACCTGCAGACGGGGGAGTCCTGGGTTCGGTTCCCGCTAGGGGCGCGTACCTTGGTTGCAGTTTGTCCCTGACCCTGATTGGGGTCATGTGATAGGCAACCACTCGATGTGTCTCTCTCACGACGATGTTTCCCTCTTTCTCCCTTCCACTCTATCTGAAGATAAATGCAAAAATGTCCTCGGGTGACGATAAAAAAAAATTTGAATTATAGTATAGTACAAAGAGCCCCAAATTAGGAGAGAGAAGACATGAGTGCTAATCTTGATTCTGCCACTTGGTTATCTGTGTGATTCTGAGTAAGTCATTTGACCTCTGATCATCCTTTTTCTCACCTTTTTTTTTTGCCTTTTATTCCCCAAGCTTACAGTTGTGTGTCAAATACCACAGTGTCTATGAAACTATAATGCAAATGTAAAGTAACGTATGCATATATATGCATGTATATACGTATGTGTATGTAAAAATACTTAACTACTCTCCAATATTAAGTCTGACTAGTATTTGACAGTCTAATTCAATAAGCGACTTGACAAATATTTTAAGACACTGTGAAGTTAAAGATGAACAAGTAATAGTCTCTGACTTCTAAGAATTCACAGCTAAGAAACATTAAAGATAAATAATTTGTACAACAAAGGAATAAGTAAGGTAGTAAAAGTATCTACCAAATTCTAGTTGTGTCCAACAAAAAAGGTAAACTCATCATACCTGAGGGAAAGGGAGAGATGTCAGAGAGAAGATAACAACTAGGCTTAAAGGAAGAAGATAAGTTGCTCATATGTATCCAGGTACATGGGCTTTTCTACCCAAAGAATCACAAGATGCATATTACAATTGGCTCTGCCTTCAATAGTTTAAACTAGTACTTGGCCTCTTTAGACCTGTCTTACCATGAATCTAAAATGAAAGGTTTAGGTAAGATGAATGCATAAGTCCTTCCAGCTCTAAAATTATATTATTCTATTAGTCAAACTCTGGTAATTGTACAAATACCAAGAAAGACAACTCAAGAGAGAGATAAAATAGCCAGACTTCTCCCATTAACTACTTTTTCTTGGAATTTAAAAGTCTGAGTACGATATTCATCTCTACATAAAACAAGCTCTAGCATGGTAAAGAGTGGAAATTGGAATAATATCAAGAGGCCAAGAACCAAACAATGAAGCCAGAGAGCAGATAGTGAAGCATTAAGTTTAGCAAACATATTGCTTAGACTAATAAGGAAACAGGCAGTGGGTAGAAAGTTACAATGTTTATATCCTTATTTACTAAGAAAAACTTGAAATAAAACTATAACCAGATATTAAAATGTACACTTCCATAAAATGAGGTTGCTGTTGTTTAAAGTTTTGCCTTGTTAAACTACTTCTTAAAAAACAATTTGTAAAGGCCAGTTTAGAAATTATCAAGAAAAGGATAAAAACCTAAACATATACAACTGAATTAATGTCAGAAATGGGAACAAAAGTGCATTGTCAAGTAACCTACTTCACCACAGGTTTATTAAACTACGTTTAACAGTGTTAGTTATAGAACACACAGTCCCAGTACTCAGAGGGTTCACTGACCTAATATCAAGACTTAAGGAAGGAAGAATAGTAACTCTTACCCATCAATTATATTTTCAGGAGGGTGTTTTTCATCACTTGATGTAGCTAAAATCACTTCAGTCCCTTCAGAGCTCAAACAGAGATCAACTTTTCTCATTTTAAACTGTTTAGCCTGCAAATAAAAGAATAACAACAAAAGCCACTTGTTGATTCTCTGCACTTTATCTGAGAAAAGAGAGAGAAAGCCTGTTGCCTAGCACACAGCTTAACAACCAAGCTATTCAACAAGTGGAAAGGACTCTAACATGTTTATTCACATAAGTAAACTTCAGACCTCTCCCAGGGATAATCTGTACATACAGATTATTTCCACTGCACCATTCCACAAAACAAATCTCTGACTACTTTTGACATAATTTTTCTGCTTCTAAAATTAAAAGCCCTCAATTATTATATAGAAACAGTTAACAAGCTAAGGTGCAAAAATGAATGGGTTAATTTTTTTTAAATTACTTAAATTGTTATATTTCTGAAATTATTTTTTAAAACCTGGAGCATAAAAACAGATTTGTGACTATTTATCTATACATTTATCAACTGAAGTAGCAAACAATATTATTTACATCTTAAAAGACATCATCATTTTTGGGGGGGCAAAAATGTAAGAGAGAAGACATCCTTTTACTTATTTTAAAATTCTAAATCACTCGTGTCATGGACTTAAAGACATTTATGTTGTATGGTAATATTTTAAGTTTAATAGATGCATCCTGAAAAGATATTATTGAGCTCTACTATGAACCCTGGTGGATAAGACAGAAAGAAGACATTAATGATTCTGTCAGATCTCACCCTCCTTCTTGATTTGGTGGAGATAGGGCAAAAACTAATATATAGATGCAAAGTGACTGGAAAAGCTGTATCAACAAAGAATTAAAAGAGTGTTTAGAAAATTGAGCAAGACTTCCAATACCCTTCACAACCTGACCCCAATCTAACTTTAAAAGGAAAAATAAAACTGCCTGGACGGTATGGCTCAGTGGATTGAGCATCATCCCATACACCAGGGGGTCACTGATTCGATTCCCAGTCAGGGCAAATGCTCAGGTTTCAGGCTCAATCCCCAGTAGGGGGTGTGCAGGAGGCAGCCAATCGATATTTCTCTCTCATTGATGTTTCTCTCTCATTGATGTTTCTCTCTCCCTTCCTCTCACTGAAATTAATAAAAACATATTTAAAATATAAATGATTTTAAATAAACAAATGACAAAGTACAAAGAATATTACATATATTAAACAACTATGTACCACTGCCCTGATTTAATAAATGTTAACATTTTTGCCATATCTACTTAAAATTTTTTTTTGAGAAGTATATAACCACTCACTGGCCCCATTCCATTTCTGGTCCAGAAGTAACAGCTATTCTGAAGTTGATGAATATCCCTCCTGATTATATTTTATACTACCATATATCTCCATAAACAATATGTACTGTTCTTTAAAAACTTAGATGCTTTCACAAGTATATATCCTTTTGCTGCATTTTCTTTCATTCAATGTTATGTTTTCATGGTTTTATCATGTTGATACATGTACATCTACTTTATTCATTTCAACTGCTATAAGAAATTTCTCAATTTCTCTAATGATGGGTAATTAGGTCAGTTTTCAATTTTGCTATTACAAACACATTTGCAATGCACATCTTTGTGCATGTATCCTCGTGCACATGTGGGAGGAAGTCTTTTTTTTTTTATCCTCACCCGAGGACATTTTACAGACAGAGCGGGAGGGAGAGAGAGGAAGAGAGAGAGAGGGAAACATCGATGTGAAAGGGACACATCGAGTGGCTGCCACCCGCACGACCAACCAGGGCCGGGGACAAACTGCAACCGAGGTACATGCCCTTAGCGGGAACCGAACCCGGGTCTCTCCAGACCGCAGGTGGACGCTCCAACCGCTGAGCCAAACCGGCCAGGGCGGGAGTCTTTTTTTTATTAAAAAAAATTTTTTTTATTGATTTTAGAGAGAGTAGGAGAGAGAAAAACATTGGTTTTTGTTGTTCCACTTTTTATGCATTTATTGGTTGACTCTTATATGCCCTAAATGGGGATCAAACCTGCAACCTTGGTGTAGCAGGACAATGCTCTAACCAACTGAGCTACATGCTAGGGCAGAAAGTCTTTATGATAAAATAATCTCTTAATAGAAATAAAATTGCAGAAACTTAGAATCAGCATATCTTCAAGTCAGTAATTGATCAATTTGATCTCTAAATTATATCATTTTACATTGCCATCAGCATTGTATAAGAGTTTCTGCTTCCTCATAGTCTAACCATAATCTATGTGGTATTGTTAGACATTTTGGCTTTAGTCAATCTCATTGGTGTGAATGGTATCTTAATAAGGTTTTGATTTGTACTTCCATGATTATTAGCAAGGTTGAATACCGTATCATATGTTTATGGGCCATTCAGACCTCTTCTGTTATTTGCTTTTTCTTATCCTTGACTTGTTTTTATATTGGGTCGCTTTATAAAAGATTTTTTTCCCCATTTCTTTTGATTTGTTGGTGGTTTTAAAATAAAATAGTCTGGATAAAAATCCTTTGTTATGTGTTGTAAATATCTTATATTCTGTGGTTTGATTTTTCTTTTAACTTTTTTTTTTGTGTACGAGTCCCCCCATACCCACACACTTTCTTTTTTGTGATTGAACTAAACATTTATATAGAAAAGCACACAAATCATAAGTATAGAGTACAATATTATTTTCACAAAGTAAACACACCTAGGTAACCACTACCTAGGTAACAGCAACCCAGGTAAAGAAATAGAACATCATCAGTATTTGAGAGGCTCTCTTTATGCCCTCTCTAATCACTACTCCTCCTTCCTTCCCAAAGGCAAGCATGGTCCTTATTTCTAATTCTATAGATTAATTTTGCCTGAACTTTACATTCATGGAATCATATAATTTGTACTCATCTGTATCTAGCTTCTTTCTTTCTTTCTTTTTCTTTTTTGTAATCCTTACCCCAAGATATTTTTCTATTTATGATCAGATAGAGTAGGAGGAAGGGAGAAAGAGGGAGAAAGAGAAGCATCAATGTGAGAGACACATCAATTGGATGCCTCCTGCACAACTTGACCAGGTCCGGAGATGAACCACAATTGAGGCACATGCCCTTGGCTGCAATCAAACTCATGCGCTGCAATCAAACTCATAACTCATTTGTCCGCAGGCCGACACTCTAACCCCTGAGCCGAACTGGCCAGGGCTGTATCTGGCTTCTTTCATTCATTATTATGTTTTTGAGATTTATCCATGTGGTTATGTGTAGCAGAGTTGAAGTGCAACTAAGTAAAGTGCATCTTAATGACCACCCTACTTAACTCCTAATAAGATTTAAAAGAAAAAAAATCAGCCCCTAAGTAGAGCTTCACAGGAAATTGGTATAAACTGAAAAGCAAAGGATTTCTGTGATTTTAGGTACTTACATCCCAAAATCCTGATAAAGGAGGGACCTAATCTCACTCCCAAATATCTGAAATCAGAGGTAAACTGAAACTATTTAAATAAAACAACTTAGACCAATCCCAGCACAATCCCTAGTGGACTGAAGTGATTTGCCCCTTATCCTAGTTCCTAGACAAACAAAATGGTGTATTCTCTCTGGGGGGAAAATAACATTATATACTTCAGTGTCCATTTATTTAAACATCCAACATTCAAAGTCATTTGAAGCAGATCTATAGATGACTCAGGTGCTGGAATTAGCAGACATAGATAAAAATAACTACTATAGCCTGGCTGGTGTGGCTCAGTGGATTGATCATCATCCCATAGACTGAGAGGTCCCAGTTCAATTCCTGGTCAGGGCACATGCCCGGGTTGCTGGGTCATGCAGGAAGCAGCCAATTGATGTTTCTCTCTTACACAGATGTTTCTACCTCTCTCTCCCTTCCTCTCTCTAAAAAGTCAGTAAAAACATATTAAAAAAATAACTACTATATATCTGTTCAAGAATTTAGTGAAAATATGGACAAATTTGTGAACAGAAAGGGAATTTTAGCAGAGAAATAGAAACTCTGAAAAAAGAACAAAATAGGAATTCTAGAACTGAAAAGCACAATATCTGAAATAAAAATTTTATTAGATGGGCTCAACATCAGACTGGACTTAGCATAAGAAAGGTTCAGTGAACTTAAAGATGGGTCAATTGAAATGATCCAAAATTAAACAGAGATATAAATGAAAATAATAGAACAGAGTATCAGAAACCTGAGAAACACTATCAAACTATTCTGAAATACATGTATTTGGAGTCCCAGAAGGAGAGGAGATAGAGAATAGTATAGACAAAAAATCTGAAGCAAAATTTCCCCCAAAATCTGTGAAATACAAAAGCCCACAGATCAAGAAGTTCATGGACCCTAAATTGGATAATTACAAAGATTTCATCTATGCATGTCTCAGTCAACTGCTGAAAATTAAAGAAAAGGGGGAAAAAAGCAGACAAAGCAAACAACAACAACAACATTACATTTAGATAACTACCAGGAATCAATATTGACTTCTCATCAGAAACAATGGAAGCCAAAAGAAAATGGAATGACATCTTTAGATTGCTAAAGATAAAAAATAGAATTCTATATCCAGCAAAAATATCCATCAAAACTAAAGGCAGCCCTGGCAGGTTTGGCTCAGCAGTTAGAGCATCGGCCCTTGGACCGTAGGGTTGAGGGTTCAATTCCAGTCAAGGGCACGAACCTGGGTTGCAGGTTTCCTGGTCCTGACGGGCTGTGGGGGAGGCAACTAATCAATGTGTCTCTCTCAACATCAATATTTCTCTCTCTACTTCCCTCCTTTCCACTCTCTCTAAAAAATAATGATAATAATCAATGGAAAAAATAAATAAATAAAAGAATATTTAAAATAAAAAAAGAAAAGTGAAGGCAAAATAAAAATATTTTCAACCCTGGCCGGTTTTGCTCAGTGGTTAGAGCGTTGGCCTGCGATCTGGAGAGACCCAGGTTCAGCTCCCGCTAAGGGCACGTACCGCGGTTGCAGTCTGTCCCTGGCCCTGGTTGGGTCGTGTGGGTGGCGACCACTCGATATGTCCCTTTCACGTCGATGTTTCTCTCTCTCTCTCTCTCTCTCTCTCCCTCCCACTCTATCTGAACAAAATATCAAAAAAAAAAAAGTCCTTGGGTGAGGATTAAAAAAAAATTTCAGCCAAACAAAAGCTGAAAGTATTTATTACCAGTAGATCCACTTTACAAAAAGTATTAAAGGAAATTCTGCAGGCTGAAGGAAAATTACTACAGGTTGAATCTGTGTCTGTGGGAATAAAGAGCAATGGAAATAGTATACATATTACTAACATAAAATAATATTTTAAAAAATTTCTCTGTAAGAGACTAAAGAAAAACTAGCAATGAACAGTAGGGATTTACTAAATGTATAAGTAATAAACACAATAATAATACAGAAGGAAAGAGGAGGGTAAATGAAACCACTTTCTGTAAAGTATTTTCACAAAGTTCGTACTTTGGACATGAAGTGATATATTAATTCAAAGTAGCCCTGGCCGGTTTGGCTCAGCGGTTAGAGCATCCACCTGCGGTCTGGAGAGACCCGGGTTCGGTTCCCGCTAAGGGCATGTACCTCGGTTGCAGTTTGTCCCCGGCCCTGGTTGGTCGTGCGGGTGGCAGCCACTCGATGTGTCCCTTTCACATCGATGTTTCCCTCTCTCTCTTTTCCTCTCTCTCCCTCCCACTCTGTCTGTACAAAAAATGGAAAAATGTCCTTGGATGAGGATTAAAAAAAAAAACACAAACAAACAAAGTAGACGAGGATGTTAAGGATGCATGTTATAATCCTAAGATTAGAATGAAGTCACCACCAAAACCATAAAACAAAGAGTTATAGGAAGGCCAACAGAGAAAAAAAAAAGAAATGGCAATAAAATATTTGATTAATCTGAAAGGAGACCAAAAATAAGTCACAAAATAAGACAATTAGAAATAAATGGCAAGAATATAATTTTAGGCATAAAAACATAAATTATTCCATTACATGTTGATAAACTAAACACTACATTATCATACTGAACTTTTAAAAAACCAACTATCTTAGATATGCTTTTCAAGAGATACCCTCTAAGTATGTGGACAGACTAAAAGTAAAAGGATAGAATAAAATACAGTATCTTAGTATCTGGTAAGGTAAATTCCTCTACTTAATTTTATTTTATTTTATTTTTTTTTAATCCTCACCCGAGGACATTTTCCCATTTTTTTGTTCAGGTAGAGTGGGAGGGAGAGAGAGGAACAGAGAGAGAGAGAAACATCGATGTGAAAGGGACACATCGAGTGGCTGCCACCCGCACGACCGACAAGGGCCGGGGACAAACTGCAACCGAGGTACGTGCCCTTAGCGGGAACCGAACCCGGGTCTCTCAGGACCGCAGGCCAACGCTCTAACCGCTGAGCCAAACCGGCCAGGGCCCTCTACTTAATTTTAAAATTGATTTGGTTCTATGCCTTATACCTTGATTATTAAAAACAACTTTGTTACGTTACAGAAAAAAAATTGAGATGTTGAATACAATTCCATTCCATTTATAGATTAATTTGGAGAGAATATCATGTTTCATGTTTGTGACAATGAGTCTTTAAATAAATAAATTGGGCCTGTCTCTCCATTTATTTAAGAATTCTTTTAAGTCCTTAAGTTGTTTTAAAGTTTTCCCCAAACATACCTTCACCTCTTATTGTTTGTTTCTACTCTTAGATGCCTATGGTTGCTATTGTTACTTTAAATGAGATCTTTTAAAAAAACAAAAAATAAACCTTTACTAAAAAAAAAAAAAAAAAAAAAAATCTGCCCTGGCCGGTTTTGCTCAGTGGTTAGAGCATCGGCCTGTGGACTGGAGAGTCCTGGGTTCGGTTTCTGCTAAGGGAACGTACCTCCATTGCAGTTTGTCCCCGACCCCTGTTGGGGTCATGTGGGTGGCAACCACTGGATGTGTGTATCTCTCTCTTCCTCCCTCTCCCCCTCCCGCTCTGTCTTAAGATACAGGCAAAAATGTCCTTAGGTGAGGATAAAAAAAAAAATCTCAGCCCTGGCTGGGTAGCTCAGTTAGAGCATCATCCCCATACTCCAAGGTTGTGGGTTTGATCCTGGTCAGGGCACATACAAGAATCAACCAATGAATGCATAAGCAGGTGGAGCAGCAAATGGATATTTCTCTCTCTCTTAAATCAATAAATTAAAAAAAAATATATAGGGGTTATTTGATCCTGTAAGCCTGATAAAATGTTTGTAGGTAGATTTTTTTTACTATTTCAAGTTCAAGAGTTCTTTCAAGTTTTCTATACCTCCTCCTTCTTCTTTTTAATTGATTTTAGAGAGAGAGAGGAAGGGAAAGAGAGAGAGAAACATTGATGTGTTATTTCACCCTTTCATGCATTCACTGGTTGACTCCTATCTATATATGCCCTGATGAAGTATTGAACTTGATGAAGTATTGAACTATTGAACTGATGCTCTAACCAACTAAGCTACCTGGCCATGGCAAGTTTTCTACACCTTCTTGAGACAATTTTGAAATTTATATTTTATAGAAAATTATCCTTTTCTTCTTAGTTTTTATATTTGCATAAAATTCATTTTTATTGTAATTTTGAAATCTAGTATGATAATATTAAAAATGTGGTAAGATTGGTCAAGAAGAAGGTATATATTCTAATATTTTTTATTTGTGCTTTTTTCCTTGCTGTTATTACTCCTGGTACCAAAGGACTGGTATTAAATAAACATTAACCCTTAGTTTGGAGAGAAGATTGTGAATTCCTAGAAATAACAGATTGATGAACTTGGATGTTAAGTCTCAACAAAATTATTCAAATTTCATTATTAAAATGATGGCTTTGAAAAGGTAAACAAGAAAGTAGTAAAATAGGAAACAGTAGTAACATTAGGTCACAAAAGTTATACCACACCTATACATTTCTTTTGTTTGTTTGATAGAGTTAGTGCCAATTAGGGACATGTTCTGAAAATTTCAACAAAATTTCAGACAAAGCTTTCCAAGATACCCTGTGGACCAGATAAAGAAATGTGGGTTGGCTGACAGGTAGTACTTTAGTTTGTCCCTGGTATGTCACAGATATTTATAACTCTCTGAATGGCTATACTAAAAGAATGATGATTAATGGAACAAAATAAACTGTGGATGACCTCTATCCTTATCCCATTAAACATTTTTATTAATTAAGGATGGGAAAAGTACACTTACCAATTTGCAGATGACCTAAAACTGGGATGTCAGCTAATATGCCAGATGACAGAATCAGCACACAAAAAGATCTGAGCAAGCTAGACAGATGGGCTGCAATCAATAAGATAATTAATAAGGATAACAGTAAAAGTCAATATACTCAGACTTAAAAAATCAATCACACAAGGAGTACTCTAGATTGGGGTTGGCAAACTACTGTTTGTGAGCCAAATCTAGCCTGCCACATGTTTTTGTATGGCCCATGAGCTAAGAATGCTTTTCATAACATATAGTTTTAGTTCATTACAAAATCACTATAAGGTAAGAGTGTACTGTATCTGCCCCCACAAATAAAGGAACTATATACACTCCATCAAAATTTTTGAACTTGAACTAAGTGTCAGGCACTACGCTAGTAATGCAAAGATAACTACAATCTAAGACAAAGATAGTGACTAAGACTTGATTGTTGCCTTCAGCTCAGAGTCAACGAAGATGGACAAGCATGGAACTAATAATATAATATGCTATATGCTAATAGTGTGATCTACATCCAGCATAATGTATTCAGTTCAGGGTAGTATATTTTATTTATTTTATTTTAACTTCACTCGAAGACACTTTTTGCATTTATCCTCAGAGCACAAGGGAGAGAGAGAAACATCAATGTGAGAGAGACACATCGACTGGTTGCCACCCGCACAACCTCAATCCAGGCCAGGGACAAACTGCAACCAAAGCTCATGCCCTTAGCGGGAACCAAACCCTGGACTCTCTGGTCTGTGGGCCAATGCTCTAACTGCTGAGCCAAACTGGCTAGGGCAAGTATATTTTAAGTAGGACATTATCAGGCTTGATATTGTTCAGAGGAGAGCAAAAAGTTCATGATAATCTATAAACTATGTTAAATGGATAAAGCTAAAAGAATAGAAGCTAAAACATTTGAAGAGAGAGATGAGAAATGTGACTACAATTTTTAATATCACAAGTGTTCATAAATGGAAAAAGGTTTAGAATTTTTCTTTTACAACTCCAAGAGGGAGAACTGTACTCAACAATATGAATTTTAAGCAGGAACTCCTTATAGATATAAGAACTTTCTGGCAAAGTAAAGATTTTAAATCTTTTCCATCCCTGAAAGTGTCCAAGAAGACTAGGTTATAGCCTACAAAGGGAACTAAAGAAAGAATTCCTGCATTTGGTGGTTCTTTTAGATTCAATTAAATTCTAGGAAAGGTAGATTGTGAACAGATAATGAAGGGTCTTAAAAGCCAAGTTAAAGATGAGTTTTATCCTGCAGTCCAGTGGTTCTCACCTGGACTAAGGGTGATTTTTGTCCCCCAAGGGACATTTAACAATGTCTGAAGTCATTTGGGCTGTCACAACTTAGGAGGGGCGGGGGTGAAGCTATTGGCATACGTTGGGCGTTTTGCGATGCTGCTAAATATCCCACTGTGCACAGGAGAGTCCCCAACAATAATGATCTGGTCTAAAATGTAAATAGTGCAGAAGTGGAATAATGTGTGGTAATCTATCTGGGAGTGGAAATGTGGAGGTTGGAGACAGGGAGAGAACTTGCTTTAAAATGGTTACATTTTAGGGCAGTGATTTTCAACCTCTTTCATCTCATAGCACACATTAACTACTAAAATTCTGCAGCACAACAACAAAAAATTTTTTTTGTGCATCTGACAGAGAAAAAAAAGGTATAATTTTGATTCATTCACACTGGAAAGCTATTGTCTTGGCTGTTGTCATTTTTTTAATTTGACACTCTAAGGGAAAAGAGATACTGCATGTTTTAAAAATTCTTGCAGCATACCGGTTGATAATAACTGTTATAGAAGAAAGCATCTAGGTGTGTTGTATATGAATAAGGAAGAAAGTGTACTACTCTCCAAATGTTCAGTTCTTTTCTTACCTCATATCTTATCACCTAAGTTGTTTGAGGGAAGCAAGCAAGTCCTTTAATACAAAAGGCATTTCATACCTCCTATGTCCATCAACTTCTTTCCTATTTCCTGTGTTAAGTAGACTTATTTAAATAACAAGTAATAAATGGTTCCTTTGCTGTGGTTAATAAGAAAGAGGCAAACCAACCCCAAAGAAACCCATGGAACAACTCAGCTGATAATGTTGCTTCCACAACTCCAAAATGCAGGTTTGGGGATGTAGTCTAATCTCACCCTGGGGGACCTTACTCTAAATACACTTAATCATTCCCTCAGGGCCTCAATTTGTCACAGGTTGTGCACTCCGGGGTGTTTACTCTCCTTTTAAAGATCCCTTACCTGAACTTCTCTGATGCCTTGTCCTGTCCTATAAATATAGAGCCACTTAACTATCCATTCACCTCCAGTTCACATGCCCTTTCAGGTCCTCCTTTCCCAAAACCTCTCCAGGTTAGCCCTTAGTTCATTTATTCCCTGACCAGCCCTTGGTTCGGTATTCTTACCCCCTTTCCCATGGCACGTACTGGGAACTTATGTGTAAATTAGAAAACAGCCATTCTCTGTCCCCCGTGCGAGTCTATGCTTGGTCGACGGCAAAACTGCCCCGACACCACCTCTCACCTCCATCCCAAACAAACCCTTCTCCTAAGTCCCAGGCCACTTCAAGACCTCCAAATCATATAGAATACGTTAAATGAACCTACTTCCTACCTTAAATAAAATGCATCACTATACGGGTTATGTTGCCGTTGTTAGGTTACCTTCTTGTAGATTTAGTAATTTCGATTTGCAATAGTTTCTCCCTTTTGAGGATCAAAACATAATTTCAGAACTCAAAAAAGTCGGTGGGCTGGCACTAGTGTCTCTAGCGCGAAGGGAAGAGAACGGACCTACGTAGGCCTTCCCCCATCCCAGCCCCCTCACCAGCCGCCCCTCGGCGCCCTCCCGCCGCCCGCCTCTACCACGCGCTCGCTCACGACCCCCTCCACTCTTCCTCCCGTCCCTCTCCACCAGCATCCCCCTCCGCCGGCCTCGTCCAGCCAGGCTCCCACCTCCCCCAGGTGCCTGCCTAGCCCGCCGCGCCGACCCGCTTGCCTGAGCCTCAGGTTAGCTCCAGGAGAGTAGACGGTAGGGCCAAGGGACCACCCTTCTGCCCCGCCCTCTGCCCCGCCCCCTCCTCCCGGCCTCCACGGAGTTCCCCGGCGCGCGCACGTCTTTACCGCGGAGTCTTCGCTCCGCTCTGCCCGCAGGCCCCGCCCCCATGCTCATCTTTACATCGCGGGTCGAGCTGCGGAATACTGCTCAAGAGCCTTTACCCCGGCCGGAGCCTCACGCTGCCTACCCTTCCCCCAGCTCATTTCGATCCCTGGGGCCTGCAAGACCCAAGAGACCCGCCCCCCCCCCGCGCGAGCACGCACGCGCAGTCTCCACCTCTCCCACATCCAAGCCCCGCCCCTCATGCCGGGTCCCGCGCACGCGCGTCTGCCTTGCCCAGCCTACCTCCCGCCCCTGTCAGCCCCGTGGTCCCAAGGCGCTAGGTCGCCCCCAGCCCCCTCCCTCATCTCATCCTTTCTCTGTCCCACCCTCCTTAGCTTTGTGCCCCGGGCGCCGAGACGCTTTCCCTCCCAGCCGCGCCGCGGGAGGAGGGAGCCGCCACAGAGGAGCTGCAGCTCGCTGCCCCGGGCAGGGGCACAGGTAGGTGGCGGCCGCGGGCAGGGCCGCTTACAGAGCCCAGGGCCGCGAGTGGGGGCGGGGGCAGGGTGTGAGAGAGGGGCGGAGTGGGGGAGGGGAAGGCCAGGAGGGATGCGGTTGGGGTGTGGTTGGGTGAAAGGTGTGAAGATGAGGATATATAGAAGTGTGGAAGATGGGTCTAAGGGTGAGGTAGTGGTGCTGCGGTTGGGTAAGGGGGCGTGTGAGAATCGGGGTTCGGGGTGGGAGAAAGGAGCTGGATTTTTGGAGGTGGACTCAGGGAGGGGCATGCGTGGGAATTTAGAGAAATGGAGAATTGCAGTGCTGGGAAGGGGCTTTGAGGGGTGCAAGGAGGAAAGGATCTAGGATTGAAATAGGAGAAAGGGTGGGGTCTTGAGGGCTGGGAAGAAAGAAGTTGTGGCTGTGGGTTGTGAAGTTGAGCATCGTGAGGCCTGAAGGAAGAGGATTTTGAAGGTTGAAGACAGAAGACCAGGAAAGAGATGGAGACATTTGGATCCTAGGAGAGGGAATCCCAGAGAGTGGGAGGAAGGGACGAATAGATGGTAATGGACAGAATAGATGGTGCCTGGAGATGAGAGTGGGTGGGGGTGGAATGACGGGGGAAGGAGAGGGAGGCTGGTGGCAGTGGGATTGGGTCCAGGGGACAGGAAGCCATATTTCAGAAGGGCCATGGAAGGGTTAGAGGACATAAGGTTTGAGAAGTGGGAGCAGAGGAGCTGAGAGTGGGCGAAGGAAAGAGGGTTTGGGATTTTTCCTGTGGAAATTGGATTTTGTGTGAGAAGCTCAAAAGGTAGCAGGTAGAAAAACTAAGCTGTAAGTCTCAAGATGTGGGGGAGATCGGTATGTTCCTAGAGGAAAGTAGGGAGCTGGGTATGGTACCATCCTCTGGAGCTTGGGAGGGGAAAGGATATGGGTGAGAAGGCAGGTAGGAAAATGCAAGTTACAGGAAAAAGAAATAATGAGAGGAGTTGAAAATTGAATAATGGTGGTTGACACAGAACAATGAAGGCAAGTTTGTTAGTTGGTTATTTGTGGTTTGGAACTAGTTTCTGTTCAAGGTTTTATGTTGGAAATTTTCCCAAGAATTCTGCATTTTCAAATTAACCAAGGGTGTCTGCAGTCTTGGGATGAAGGCCATGAGTTGACAGATGTTTTCCTGGTGTGTGGATACGGGTAATTTCTGCCCTGGCAGAAGGAACAAGGGAGGCCTCAATATAGGTCTTTGTCCTGGCTCTGTTCCCACTCACTCTTTCCTCAAATGTCCACTGTTTTTTTAAATCTCCTCCCTGTCCCTCCATCCCCCCAGCTTGAGCCAGTGAATACCAGAGGGATCAAACAGGTGGGTGAGATTAATTTTTAACACATTTTTTTTTTATCCTTAAGGCTTATGTCATATTTTTATTCTTGAGACACAGCATCATGCAGTGGAAAGAGCCTGAACTTTGGAGTAATATAGCCTTGAGATTGAATTCTAGCTCTGCCACTTACTAGCTCTGTTTCTTGAGTAAGTTACTTTACTTCTCTAAGCCTCTTCATCTATTAAATGGCAATTCTGACCTTATAGGATTGTTGAAGATTACATGAGATCATTTAATATAGTATCTAGCTTAGTGCTTGGCAACTGGTAGTTGCTTAATAAATGGTAGTTGTCATACTATCATTATCATCATATATGACTTATTATTACAGGGATTATTAAATTACTTTACCTACTAAAGTTAGGTGTGTTCTTTCTCTTCAAATTACATATCTGTAGACTCGGTTTACAATCTTAATTCTGTTGCCTCCTAACTCCCCTCCCTGACCCCTAACTTGACATGAGAATAAAGCATCTCCTTATCCTCATGCTTCTTGCTTGGTAAACTGACTTCAAGTTCTAAAAAACTACATGTTTAGAAATCAATTCTTTTATTTTGCTTCTTATTTAAAGAGGCTATAGAGAATTGAGTTATTAACATTACGAGATTATAGTTTATTCATTTGATTGAATGATATTCTTCGTGGTATTGGTTCATTTATGGTGTCCAAATACTAGAACATAGACTATTGTGATGCTTTTCTACAATGTTGTATGGGTTATAAAACTGCCTCTCTGTAGGGAGCTGGGAGACTATTAGAATGCCCCTGTTACTTTGTTGATCTAATATAAAATACAACTAATGCAGATCTACACTGGACATTGTTATTCTTACAGATACTGATTATTTTAATTTTCCAGTTTGTATGGGGGTTTTGTCATGGTATGTCTCCTGAGGGGTTCCATTTATAATATACCACCCTGTACAACAGCCAGGCAGAAGCAAAAGCCAAGTACAGAAGCTTTGTATGGAATTCTCTTGCCTTTATGGTTCTTAACCTTGAGAGGCTTAACTACTAAAGGTTATAATTCCTAGATCATTTTATAATACTTCAAAAATTCTCAGGAAGCTCCTTATTGGGAGAATGCAAGATGCACAAATTCAGTAATTAGAAATCAAAGGTCACCAGGATATCCTGAACCAAGATGAGTTCCTCAATTGCCATAGTTGAAGAATAGAGAGAACTTGGGGTTTCTGGACAGATGATGTGGGTTTACTCTAGGAAATATTGGATCTCTTTTTATTATTTAGAAAGAGAACTAGCATTTGATGAGTAATTTATTGGTAAAACATAGCCATTAACTGTGCTCTTTTTTTGAAAATGATCCGTGGAAGCAGAAGCTGCCAGGATTTGGGGCAGCCTGGGTTAATGCCCTTAATCCTGTCCCAAGCTGCTGTGCCCTCTGCTGGATAGAATCAGACTTTTCTGATTTTCACCCAAAGTAGTCATCAATTCATCTACTTGTCCATTTTACTCCAAAGTTTGTGGAAGGCACTTTTGGGGGTGAGGATTACGGGTAATACAGATGGGCAGACTCTATTTCTTTGCCTGGGAGCTTATAATGTGCTGATCTATTATAATATGTTATCTTCCATTGAATTTGCCTTTTTATTAAAATCAAGTTATTCCTTTTTAGGACCATTCCTGGTGTCTGCTTTCTGATGTACAGGTAGAGTAGGACTCTGAATGCCCAGTCACAGGGATAAAGACCAAAGGGGATCTGCTTTATCTCCTCATCAAGATTAAAGTCTGAGGTTGAAGGGGCCAGATGCTTACTTCTATTGGAAGAAGAGCTTAGAATGAGACATCTCCTTAGCAGCAGGCTGAACACTAGCAAGACTATGAGTTGTAAGAGCTGGCACTGTGACAGGAGTTGTTTTTGTTTTTTTTCTTGTTTGGTAGACACCCCCCCCCCCCCATTGCCAGTAGCAATATACTCCCATCATCTGCTTTGCTTCTACCACCTGCAGAGGGTCTGGCAAGTGGGGGAGGAGCTGCAGCTGTTGCCTGGAAGAGGCACTGGCTCCTAGCAACAGTATCAGCAGTTCCTGCAGCTCAGAGCACTAACTAAGCCTGTCCCTTTGAGGTCTCACCCTTCATCTCAGCAAATAATCTGCTAAGGGCTTACTCAGCACTAGGCGCTATGTTAGGCCTGGGAAAGAGAACTGAATCAAATAAGAGCCTTGCCTTCAAAGAGCTCACAACTCTGGGAACATAAGTGAGAGGACAGATGTAGTACATGGTGCTAAGTGCTATGTAGAAGGAGCCATTGGTGCTTTGGGAAAAACCAGACAGGCATGCCATGGTATAGGGGTTAGGGAAAGTTTCTTAGGAGAGGGCTGGTGGTGTTAATGATGAGTAGGAATTAGCTAAGTCAGGGAAGCAGAGAAGGGTGTTCCAGCCAAAGGGAGCCAAGTGGTCAAAGGCCAGTGGGAAAAGGGCCCAGCTAGTTTACCTGGGTAGTATTGCATGGTCAGAGTAGGGCATAGGAAATGAGCAGGAAAGGGTGAGGCTCTCAGCCTAAGCAGGGCCCCCTTTTCTCATGTGTTATACACACATAATTATCCTTGGGAGAAACACGGGTTGTACTGATGACCACAAACAGAATCAACTGTTTGATCTCCAGAGACAGCATTTTTGATGACTGACTTGATTGTTTGCTGACACTTTTAAGTGTCATCATAGCTAGATCCTAGCCCTGCATTGATTCAGAAGCTGGGTTGGTTCACTCTAAAAGTCAAGGACAGTCTTTCAGAGATAATAGCAGCTTTTTGATCTATATTATATTAAATTTCACCTCTCTTCTCCCTTTAAATTGTTGTAGAAATGACATTTTCATCTAATGTGGCAATTTTTTGTGTATCTTGAAATCTCACAGTTCCTTAGGAAAACAGTATGTATTTCAGTTAGTGCTCTGGCACAAAATATTACCCATGTGATCACAAATATCCAACTGTTTTTGATATTTCACCTTACCTCAAAAGTGCCCTAAAAGAGCCTTAATGGAAGTGACGCTTCCAAGGGCTAGAATAGCTTTTAGTTAGCTCTTGTGCTGGAGGTCTTCATTTGTAAGTCCAATAAAAACCCTGTTGCTTGTGGTCTGTGTAAGGTTTAGCATATGAGTAAACTGCAGTTCTGCAAATATCTGCTCAGGGCCTGTTTTATGCCAGGGCACTTTGTTAGGAAGTCTGGTTGAATTAAACACGGTCCCTCTTCTCGAGCTCATACCAGCTGAACACAGACCCAGAAACAAATCAGTAGCAGAACAGTGAGCTA